TCCTCTAGGCCGCATGTGTAGCAGGATTGGATGCACGTAGGGGATTTATGAACAGTCACTTGGAGATGCGCCAGAGCCGGAGGATTCTCAACAAGAGTGCCTTGTAGACGGAGCAGAAGAAGGAGTCGAAGCTTATTCTTTGATGGTTCCAGTTTACTTTGTAGTTCTTTCTTTTTTCATTGATCGATGTATTTTTGTATCTCTCCTATATTCATTTGTTCATTTTTATATAAGGGCATGTTGACCTATATCATTATGTCTCGGATGTTATCTCATTTGCGATATGATATTTTTATTCTGAGTTTGTCTATTATGTTCTTGCTGATTGTGATCGGGGACCTGTGACTTCGCATTGTATTTATTTCCAGACGCTTAGCATATTAGATTGAGAAGACGGGGTTTAGCACTTATCTCTTCTCAGTCTAATACGTCGCGAGCTTGTTCACGTTCTGATTCCCCGGTATTTTGGGAAGCGGGGCGTGACAATAGGTAACCCAAACTAATTCATTGAATGATAGACTTGCTATAAACTCAACTCTTATAAAATTGATATCACATGTGTCTTAAGTTGTGCTTTTGTTTAAGAGTTAGTTTTAGAAAACTCCCCCTCAACTATGGAGAGCATGACAACCCTAACCCCCCCCCACCCCATCGGGGAAAACTATTTAAGACTGAGTAAATCTCTGCCAAGTTTTGTAGATAATCTATCTCAACTTAAAAAATTTTGATTTAACCTCAGTGAACTTTTCTCACTTAAACCTAACCTCTCAAAACTAACATCATAAAATATTATCTATTATGTGATAAGTAATTGACTTGGAAAGACCAAAATATCAATCAATCATAAAAGAATTACATTGGCTTTTGCCAGATAAAAGAGGTGATATAGAGGAAAAAAATTATAAATTGGTTGTGATCCTTTTATTGTCGGTTGATGGTTTCTATTTAACTAAAATTGCTTTCTTCAAGAGGGTATTTTTTCCAAATCATATATCGAAGTAACTATGTTAAGGGGGTTTGTTGATAGAAATGTAAAAGATTAGGGAAGTTTTTATGAGATACGCTATAGTTGAGAGATATTTTCTAAAATTACATCAAAATTGAAAGGGTTATTTATAACACCTCACATAATGAGGGGGTTTTGTCAAATTGAATCAGTTGAGTGGGTTTTTTAAGACAATCCTCATAGTTGAGAGGGTTTTTTAAAAATTAACACTTCTTTTAATATGGCTTATTTATAATTTGACCCTCAAATTTTTAATAATTTAATATTAGTCCTTAAAATTATGAGCAATTTTAAAAATTTGTGGGAATAACATAGAATCATTAGATATTTAAAATCAAGGAACTAATATCTAAATAAACTTTACATATTTGCTCTTATAGGCAATTTATTAAATATTGACCAATATATTGCTATATCGGCCAATATATCGGGTTAAAGACTTTATCTTACTAATATTTTATATTAGTTTCTTTTGTTTGTTGACTTTTTTGATAAATCGACCGTTATAAAAAATATGACCGATATATCCCTTTGAAGATATCGAGAAAATCATGTCATTTTTCAATTTGATTGTGGGCTGGGGTTTGGATCGTGTTTGGGAAATAAAATTAGAACCTGCAAAACCCACAAATGCCACAATTCTCCTCCCAAATCTCTCCACTCTAGGCTCTCCCAAATCTTAAACATATATCTTGATGCAAATTCTTATGTTTAAACTTCATAAATAAGTTAGATTGTATATTACAATGTCATGTTATGTATGAATATTTACTCATATGACACCCTGTCTTACATACATATCCCTAATTTTTGCTACCCGATATCATGGAATTTAGTTTTTCAATATTTATTTGATGCCAAACACTTTGTAGTAATCCTTCAAAAGTCTCTTCTAAAGTTTTCTAAGCGAAGTATATAATTTCAAGAAATAATTCAAAATCTTGAGACTCATTCAAAATATGATGCTTTAATGTTTCAAATAGGAACATATACCATCGTTTATAAATATAAGCTAAGCATCTGGCCTCATATTGTATGATAAATATTATTTGTCAATAGGAACATATACTATCGTTTATAGATAACAAATGTTTCAAATATTTTCTAGGCTTAACTGAACTTAAATACCTTGTAGTTTATCAAATTTATATTTATATACCTCCACTTGTATCTTGCTACACTTTTTTTAAAATTTTAGATAATGTATCTTGATGCGCTTAAATGTCCTAATGTTTTCTAAAATTTAATGATTGTACCTTTTGTCTTGTTACCTAAATATAAGAATGCTCTTTGTAATTTTCCTATATGAGTTTCATGGTATAATTTTAGGAGAATTCTATGTTTTCTATTATTTCCATAACTACTTTATTGACATGCAATTATCTATTAATATATTATTATACATTACTAATAATTAATATGATGTAGAGTTTTATAATAACGTTGGAAGTTCTGAAGACCAAATTATGCAAACTTAAAATTATGTAAACTTAAAGTGACATATAATATAATTAATTAACAATAATAATTAATTAAGTTTAGTTAGTATTAGAATGTAATATCAAAAGAGAATAGGGGTAATATAGTCCTTCGAAAGTTTTTTTCACAACTCCCTCTTTTAAATGGAGTATGATATGATTTAGCTAATAAATCCAACGTTTTATGGGTGGACACGTCTCATAAATTCTACATTAAATTATTTATACTGCATAAATTGTTAAACATCAATGAATTTATAAATTAAAAGCTTGGATAATCAACAACGTATTTCTAAATTTCTAAAAACTCTGTTTGTTGATGGTTATATAAAGGCTGAATAGCACTTATAACCCCTAATGTTTCACCTACTTATCACTCATATACTCTTACTTGTATTTGATAGTGAAAATATACCATAAAGTTAAAAAAGTTGCACTTATATAACCTAATTTTTTGGGGCACTTAAATACCCTAAGGCCCCGTTTGGCAAAGGGTTAATGAAGAGGGGTTAAAGAGAATGATTAATGTACTTAGTCCATTTGATAATCCGAAGGACTAAATTATTAACCTGTTAAATAAGTTTTATTTTAGCCCTTATGATCAGTTTTAGTGTTTGGGAATAACAATAATTTTGACTATTTTCTTTATAATTAGAAGTGTTAACTCTTATTCCATCTAAATAGGAGTATTAGTAAACCCCTCATTTTGAGGGGTTAACTCATTTTAACACCTCTAGAGGGGTTAACTTAACCATTCTATATTTTTTATGTTTGGCAAATTATGGAGGGTTAACTCACTTTAACCCTTATATAGATTTGTTGTGTTTGGCAGGTTAAGAAGGGGTTAAGTCTCCTTAACCCCTCACTTAACCCTTTGCCAAAAAGTACCTAAAGTTTTTATGACTAGCACTTAAATATCTTAAAGTTCTTAAAATTTGCACTTAAAAATCCTTAGTTATGCAAACTTAAGGGTATTTAAGTACAAGTTTTAAAAACTTTAGGGTGTTTAAATACCGGTTTTAAAAACTTTGAGGTACTAAAGTGCAAGTTTTAATAACTTTTGGCCATATAGATGCTATAAAAATAAATAAGTGAGGGCATATATAAGTACAAAATTATAAAAATTTATTGTATTTTCTAGCTATCAAATATAAGTGAGAATATATAAATAAGAAATAGATGAAGCTGTAGGGCTATAAGTGCTATACAGCCTTGTATAAATATGGATGCTTTCATAAAGTGATCGTATGCCTTACTTGGCTACTTGGCGAGAGCAATTCCATTTATTACCATACATATGCGAGATCTCAGAGATTTACAAATAAAACCTGGTAAAGGGGCTGGCAAGCAAAATTTATCTTTGGGATTTTTTTAAAAAAGATATTTTTTGTTAAATAATTAGCAAAATCGACCATTTTGCTAATTATTTAGCAAAATCAGGCTGATCGAAACATACGAGACTAGTAGTCCCGTATGTTCTAAAACCACAACCAAAACATACAAGACTATTAGTCCCGTATGTTTCTGCTTACAAATCACAACCAAAATATCGGCTGCCTGAACTGGAAACGAAGGCCCAAAAGAGATCCTTCACGCAGTCCGAGAGCTCGTAGGACTGATAAAAAGAGTAGTCAGCCAGTCTCCTGGTCCAAGGATGCTCCTTTGGCCGCAACACGAACCTTGCAAGGAAAAGGGAAGAGGCAGCAATCATGGACGGAGGGTACTGTAACATGTGGTACTAAAGAAGAGAGACCTCCGCGATGAAATCGGCGAGGAACTCGAGCTTAGGCGGCCCGCGAGCGACGTTGACGAGGCCGCTCAAGCAGCACATGGGCGTGGGAGCAGTTAGTTTGAAATTAAGGAGGCTCAAGACCTGTGATTCCATCTGAAGAGCCTCCTCCTTGGTGTAATTCTCCTCCATCAGAAGGAGGAGCTTCTGAACCTGAGGAACGTGCCTCTCTTCGTGATTGGATATGATGAGCAAGAAGACGGAGGCGAGGAGCTAGAGCCAGTGGCAGTTGAGGTCCCTGCACGGGAGGCAGCGATCCATGTAATTGACGGCGAGATACAGTGCCTCTGGTGAGTCGACGCAGAGCTCCTCCAAGAGATGAGCGACCCAGTCGACGGTGGAAGCCCTCATATCAGCGGTGATGTCGTTCTGAGCCCACATATTTTAAAATCAGTCCGCCCAAAGCATACGTGACTAGTTGTCCCGTATGTTTTGGTTGTGGTTTTAGAACATACGGTACTACCAGTCCCGTAGGTTTCGAGCATACTATTTTTTAAAATTAAACTCTTTTTGGCATGTTGTTTAAAATCACATTTTGTTAGCCAAAAAGAGGTAGATTTTGCTAAATAATTAGCAAAATTAGTAAAATGGTCGATTTTGCTAGTTATTTAGCATAGAAGGTCCTTTTAAAAAAAATCCCTTTTATCTTTCTAGAATCCTCCTATGCAACGTGTCAGTAAATAACAAGCGACAACATTAACACCGTCATATTACGATCGTGCTACTACGGTCATCGTTATAAACACCTACTATTCTCCGATTCGCTTCTTATCATTTCCAGAAATCGAGGGTTCCTGTTTTCTTCGGTGAAGCCCAATCATCGCCCTTTAAGACGGTAAGCACGCTCGAACCCTGGAAAACCTAGGGAAAAATATCCAAATAATTCGTCAAATTTTTTCTGTAATTTATTGTAGAGTATTGTTCCTTTTGTTTAATCTCTCATAAATTTCTTCTCTAGTGCTCGAAATCAAAGCCCTAGGTTTTGGTTTAGTCCCCCCTCCCCCACACCCCCCCGAATTTGCGTCTAGTTTCGATTTCTTATCCTGTAGTTCTTGCTCAATTTCTATTTTTTTTAAAATTTGTAATTTTCTAATATTTAACTGGAACTATTTTCTTGTTCGATGATGCTATCTTTCTATGATTTGTTATGATATCTAGTTATGCATATTTTCTCCTTTATTAGCAGGTCGCCTTGAGTTTTTAGGTGGTTGAAGGCTGCTTGATTTTCCCAGTTTGTGGTGATTCTTATGAACAATGAGTTCTTTGACTGCATAGCCCCATTTGGGCGCTGTTTAGCGTTCTTTTCATTTCTGCTCTCCATGAAGTTTACTTTTTTAGTTGATATTTTGCTAGTGTCATATCTTCACGGATAAATCTTTCATATTGTTGGCTTAGAGATAATTTAATCGAGATTGAATATAATTCATGTATAGAGGAACCCAAACCCGTGGCGTAGGGCTTTGTTATCATCGTTGTTCTTTGTTGTTGGTTTATAGATATTTGGGGAAGATTATTGCGTCTTTGTGTGTGCTGCCCTCTAAAATAAAATGTTTTGGTTGTGTGTGCAGATAAGATGAGCCGCAGTTCACGTGCCAGTCGAACCATCTATGTTGGCAACCTTCCTGGTGATATTCGGGAGAGGGAGGTGGAAGATCTATTTTATAAGGTAGTCCTTTGGCGCAATATTTAGATGCTTAATTTCACACTCGAAAGCAGGAATCATTATTACTGGGTTTGATATTATCCTGTGTGGAATTTTCCGATTCTGTTTGTGTTCAATTACTGGGGTAAGAATTTAACTATAGTTATCTATACTGTCTATTCTATTATATTAAAAACTTAGTGGGGTTACCAAAATTTTTGAATGACATTTGACATCTCAATAGAAATGCAAGGGCTATATAGGTAATTTTCCCTCCCTTTATTTTATTTTCTCTTTTCTTTTTCTAGAACAATTTAAACCGTAACATGAATATACAATTAGAGCTTACTAATTAAAAATCTATTACAGTATGTGCTTTAAGATATTACAAATATAAAATGATAGGGCTCTTTTCTAAAACAAATTAGTACATATGAATGAATATAAATACAATAATTGAAATTTCCATATGTTTAAATCTAAATATTATCGAAAGTCTATATCTACATACTTGGGTTAAAAATAATTTAATATAATATTTTGATGATAAAATATGAAACATACTCTTCTTATCAACGTTATTTAAAGTGCTCTTTGGTTGATATGTTGAAAATAATCCACCAAATTACTATGCACCCTATTTTCTTTCGTGAAAATCACATTACTAGTGAAAATGAAATACATGTTATGCCAAATTTCAAATAAGGTAACATAAAATACTCATCTCCAATGAAAAAAATATCATAAAAATATTTTATAAAGCTCGATGAATTTTACTGTAACTTCCCTTTTATATAAAAATTTGGGATGGTTAAGTTTTCACATCTGTTGCACGTGCATTATAGTGCTAGTGCTTTATAATTGGCCTTGTGGTTTCCTTTTGTACTATTGATTGAAGTAACATTCAAGAGCAATAGCGTGACTATGAAGCCACCTGATAGAATTGACTCTTTAACTAGCTGTATTCAACTGTAAGGAGGATGTTTATATCTTTTAGAATTTCTAGAAATTTAAATTTAAAATAGTGAAAAATGTGACATCATGTTTAAGACGGCGTCAAGTCATCATGACTATCTCCTGTTATCCAGTGTGCTATCTGTGGTGCATATGTGCCTCAAAATTGAACTTCCATTATAATGTTCACTGTAAAAAATAGTCTATTCAGTTGTACCTGTGAAGCCTCTGCCTTATTCCAAGGTGCCGTCCATCCTTTGCGTATATTCATTTTGATGTGAATGAAAATGCTCTGATTTTATCTTTGCAGACACATGCCAATTGGAATCATTACAATATATTCTCATTACCAAGGTCATTGGTAAATGAGGAACTGTGCTGATTACTCTGAGCTGTCTGATCTTAAACTGCCTTAATGCTTTTAGATGTGTGAAGTGGATTGATACAATTGTTTTAACATTCTATTAAGATCCATCAATTATCCATTTATCTTATAGTGTTTGTAGAGATGTTCCTGTTTTCTAGGACCTGACTATATTATGTTGGGTTGCAAAGTATAGATGTGTGCTGCTGCATTGTTGCGTTGGAATTTGTACTGTTACATTTCCCTTGAACCTCTCTCGATGCCGAAGCAAATTTTGGCAGGATTTTTTAGTTAGATGTTCTCAGCTCACATCATGCAGCGAAGGCATGCATAGCATGCATCAAATCGTGTGTTCTTGACTCTGTGCAAGCTGTGATTGTATCATGCATCTTGTAGACGGTCAAGATAATCTCTTGCTGGTGGTAATGGAGCTACCAAGTCTGCATCTTTTATGCTGCAGCGTTGTGTGTGCGCGTTTTTTATTTTCAGTTTGAAATGCTAACCTGTGCTCCATCAGAATTGCATATCTGGGTTGTTTTTATGGGTGATCTTGTAGTCATCCAGCAATTAATTTATCTATATGCATTTAATGCTTCAAGGATGTCAATAATGGGGCATGCCATTCCCTAAAAATAGTGAATTTGGGGGAAAAACCTTGTGGATTTTACTTATTAATTTAAGGCCCCCTTTCCCTCTCCTGTGGCAGTGCATAATTGATCTTAATTTATTTTATCGGATCAGATCTTTCTTTTCTTGGGGCCTTCTTGGCTACAATTATATTTCTACTTGTTACTGATTGTCATCTTATGCTTTTTTTTTTCTTTGCTGTGCAGTATGGACCCATTATTGATATTGATTTGAAGATTCCCCCTAGACCTCCTGGTTATGCTTTCGTTGAGGTAATACCATTATCGTTTTTCTTGATACTTGATACCTACATACAAGTCTTAAATTTGACCTTTCTGTAAATAGTAGTTAGTACTCAATCTTCACATAAATGCTTCCGGTTGAGCAATGTGATGGCTCACTTCTGTGAGTTTCTTTTTGTTTCATCTTGCAGTTTGAAGATCCAAGGGATGCTGAAGATGCTATTATTGGCCGCGATGGATGTAATTTTGATGGGTATAGGTTACGGGTGGGTATTTTACCTTGATATTTGTTGTTCTAGTTGTGTTTGTCTTCTCAAATTTTATGGTTATTATATAATCTTCCAAACTTATATGAAGGTTGAGCTTGCACATGGTGGGAGAGGACGGTCCTCATCATATGACCGGTATAGCAGTTACAGTAGTGGTGGGGGTCGTGGTGGTGTCTCTAGGCGCTCAGACTACCGTGGTATGTTCTTGCCTAAAAATTTATTACTGTCCCCTGCCTTCTTATCTGGGTAATGATTGAGTTCTCTGATGTTCTGCTATGCAGTCTTGGTCACTGGTTTACCTTCATCAGCTTCATGGCAAGACCTGAAGGTAACCTCTAAAAGTTCCTGGTTTCTTTTGTGGTGCTAAAATTTTTATTCAATATCTATTTCTCTGTTCAAATGCATTAGTTGTTGTTGTCTGATAGGACCACATGCGGCGGGCTGGTGATGTTTGTTTCTCGCAAGTGTTCCGTGATGACAGAGGTGAACGGTTCTCATTTAATTTACTTGAATGATTTTTTGCTTTTCATTCTTGATCATATTAATATGACATATGGACGCCATAAGGTAGAAATATGGTTTGCATATAACTGAAAGATTCACTTTGAAATACTGGATAGTTTGTTTGATGTTCATTGTTATACAAAGTACAAACGAGAATTGATTCTGAAACACTTGAAAAATTAACATGATAAAGTTGGTTTATTTTATGTTTACTGTTATGCAAACAAAACTCAGTTTTTTGGAAACTTGATGCTCGAAAGGTTTTATTTTTTTATTTATTCTTGTTTCTCATAGTTGACCATCTTAAATATGGCATATGGACCCGTAAGAAGCGTTGCCTGGATGCTTCACTTGAAATATGTTTTATGTTTACTATTATACACAAACAGAAAGCTGAGATTGAAGCACTTGAAAAACATGTTAATTAGTTTTATGTCTACTCATGCAAACAAAAGTAAATTCGCAAACTGAATATGTGGAGCTTTGGATTTTATATCACTTTTTGTGATGCACATCCTTCATCTGCATGGGTTCTTCTGTTTGTTCCCCTAACCAGTATAGATCACAGACCAATAATTTTACTCCTGTACGGTTTTGAGAATTCTTTTATACAAGCTTCTTATATTTTTTCTTTTTCTTAGCCTGTATTGTTTCATCTGATAGTGCAATTATCTATACCAAGTTTCTCATCTTCCCTTGCTGTGTAAGGATAATGTTTCTTGCATCGACTCTTGGTTGCATCTTGCGTGAGCTTGAAATTTGGGACAAACAAAGAAGTGTATCCACCTATTATGTAGTTTTCTATGTTTTTTGCGTCTAGGCTATCTGGTCCATAGTTGACATAATTATCGTTCCAACTACAAGAAGGTTGAGAATTGGGGTCAGGTTGAGAGGTGGTTGGGAAGAAATCTTTTCATGCAGCTTTAAATTGTATAAGCGCAGGGATTGATGATATATTTCCCTCTATTGGATGCTATCAATGCATTCATTTCTTTTCGCACCATATTCTGGTCACCGAAGTTGACTATATTGTTTTGGGTGCTTAGATGAGGAGCTTGTTAACAAGATTTGAGTGCAAATTGTTTTTTGTAAAGTGCATGAATGTATTAGCCTTCTTAAGTACTTTGTTGAATTGTTGCAAGTTGGAAATACTTGGGACACCAGGTCTCTTTTCCATTCTGAGCCCAGTCTTTTTCTGTAGTTATTCGCTATTTGTTCTGTTTTCAGTTCCTTGTGATGACAACAGTGTCATGTTCGTACTACCAAAAACCTCATATCAATGCAATTGTTTAATTTAGCAGGTCTGTATATGAAGATTGTTATTAGAGGACTTATGAAAATTGTCATGTTCATACTACCAAAAACCTCATCAATGCAATTGTTTATTTGTAGAATGTCGGATCACATTGTAAGCTCTGTTCGCATTGTCATGGCCTCCATACAGCTCTCATAGGAATGTTCACAACGCCTTCTCCCAAATGAAACACCAAATAAAACTGAAAACAAAATCGAAAGTAATTTAATTCCTTATTATGTAATTAGGATTCCAATTCCTTATATACTTTGGACTTGGATTAGTATTCTTTTATAAATAAAGGTAAACAGGAGGGGAAAATCATCTCTCTTTTCTGTTTCTAATTACTAATTCTACAAAAGTTAAAGCCAAAATAACCTTTATTGCTTTGATTCAAATATGATGCTTCCCAAATAGTACAATGCAAACAATGTTACTTTTAGTTGGGTCTTTATGTAAAATTGACCTGACTACAAGTAGTAATGTAAATTATGTGTTGTGAACTTAAATTGTAAACTTAACTAATATAATATAAAACGTGGAATGTCTATTTTGGAAATTAATTACCAATTGGTAGCTCACACAATTATATCTAAGATCTGAATATCACACGCATGCGGATAGTCCAGTGAGGAGCCATATCTGAATTTTGGTTTCCTTATTGGGGTCTATGATTTGTGTTTTACATGAATCTCATCAGAAGAGCATAGCAATAGTGCGTACTTTTTACGCTTCCCAGTTTTTTTAATTATACGCAGTTCTGTAGCTGACTGAATCATCTGATAATGAAGCCTCTAGTTTCTTACTTCTGAGGAACTGGGCATAGCTAGATTACTCATGACGTAACGTCTGGATGTTTGCAGGGACAACTGGAATTGTTGACTATACAAACTATGACGACATGAAATATGCAGTAAGTGTTTGATCTTTTTTTTGTCAATAATTTGTTTCATCTTCAGCTCTTGTAACTGTTCATAATTTGAATGATTTATTTGGTGGTTGCTTGCATCTCTGATGGTTCCCCTGATGTTGATTCTCCCTGCCGCAGATAAGGAAACTTGATGACTCTGAGTTCCGCAATGCATTTTCACGAGCATATATAAGGGTGGGCCTCTGTTGTTTTAATAGATTAATGTATCGTTTGGCTCAACTTGCATCAACATATATGGAATTTTTTTAGGTAAATTAATTTTCTGAGCTCCTTCTGCAGGTGAAGGAGTATGATTCAAGGAGGAGCTTATCTCGGAGCAGAAGTCCTAGCTACTCGAGGAGCCGTAGCATTAGTCGTGGTCCTAGTTACAGCCGTAGCAGGAGCCGTAGTCAAAGGTTTGGCTTTTGATGTCTTTATATTTTAAACTGCGTGATGGTTTGACTTAGACAAACTTCTTGTGCAGCATTTCACCAAGGGTTAAGGCATCACGGCGTTATTTATCTAGATCTGCATCCCCTCGTTCCCGTTCAGTGTCAAATGGGCTGTCTGTATCAAGGTGCGCATATTCTTGTTTGTTTCTAAGTCAAATATGTGAATCTTGCTGTTTACTGAGTTTTACCCATTGGCTGGTCTCAAATATATCGGTTGTGAATTTCTTTGCCTGTGTTGCTTTTTTTTCTTGTAAGGTGAATTGGAATTAATTTCTTCTACTGCCTTTCCAGTGAATTATTAGAGTAAATAGTCTTTGGTTGAGTCGATAGTAAGCTTATTTTGATATAAAAACTGTTATAATTTATCAACCTTTTGAGACCTAAGAACAGTTTGTTGTGAGGGCCATGACATGTGAAGTTATCTTTTCCCGAAGTGGAATGTGTATATTGGTTTAAACTTGGTTTGTGGATGTCTTTGGGATGTTCTAGATTAACCCAAGAATTTCTTTAAAATCAAATTATGACTGGAGACTTGGAAGAGGTTTCACTTTGTCAGGGATATGTGATTTGTCCTTTCGTTATTTTCCCTCTTCAGTTTCCTTTTCTTTCTGTGTTCTCTGGTGAAGTATTTTGCAAGCTAGGAACTGCATTATATGAAATTGCTGAGATGTTGTAACATGCTATTCTTTTAGCAAATTTTGATTGCCTTGAAAGTTTTGGCCTCGTTAAACCTTGTAACCCTGTTCTATATGCCATTCAATAATTCTTTTTCCCTCCATCTATTTCAGGCGGGAAGTTCATTTGTTGGATATTGTTCTTTTTTAGAACTCATGCATAATTGCCAATCACGGTTTTACGGATTAAAAAAAAGAGGAAGTTATGATCTTATAGAAACTGGAAATCAAATGCCATTGGGCACATCTGCTTTATATTTTCTTGTTTGTGGTTTTTTTTATTAATTTTGACGCCCTTGAGAGTTCTGGCCTCATTAAACCTGATAATCCTGTTCCCGGTGCAGCTCAACAATTTTTTATCCCTCCATCTATTTTAAGCGGAAAGTTTATTCACTGGACACTGTTCTCTTTCAAAACTCTAATGCATAATTCCCGATCCGGTTTACGGATTTAAATTTGGGAAGTTAGGATCTCATAGGAACTCTCTGTTTTGTATTTCCATGTTTTGCGGAATTTTCAAGCTGGTTGCAAATTTTTGAGCTTTTCTTCACAACCATTTGTTTGTCTAACTTCTCTGCCCGTCTCCGTTCCTCATATTTCCATCATGCTTATTCTTTCTTCCCTTGCCCGATCTTTTTAAAATATTATTTGAGTGAAGCTTCTTGAAATATGTTAGTGTTTATCAGAATCAGACCATCAAAGGTATTAATGACCACTCTTTGTATTCATGTGCACAATGTTTGTGTTCTCATCTGTATGTTGGTGAACCGACTTGTTACATATCATAAAGATGCAGGAGTTATATGGTTCCATATTAAGTGAAGGAAACATGTGGAAAATTGTTACAATTCGAGGATCTGAATTTAATAATCTAGTCCATTTAGCTTAGCACATTAAGTACACCCGACTAGTGTCTCAGTAGGGATGTTGCTCAATGTGCGTGACATTGTATTGCATGTATTTGGTGGTCGCGGGCGATGGTGGGAAGGATGTAAATTTTTGCGATGGTGATGCTGGTTCTATGATAGTGCATACGTATTACCTCCCACAGAGTTATCAGGATAAAAAAAGTATTGAACTAGATAAAACATTCAAATTTTAATGCATAAGCTATCATATTAGTGGTTCTATCTATGTAGTCACTGAAAACTACACCCGTAACTTACTCTGACAGTGTACGAACCAAATTTCTACGGTGACCGGAGCTCAAATATGTATCCGAGGTTTAAAACAATAAGAAATGGAAATTTATGAGATGTCCCCTGGTGCTATCCTATATTCTCTATGAATCTGATTTCTGTGGCAGGCAGAAGGCATTTAGGTGAGTTAAGGGCCTTAAGGCTATAGATACACCTTTCAGTGTCAGTGGTGGGTAAAAGGTCTAGTGGTGGTTTTTTGAATGATGAAAAGGTAGACAATTCTTGTTCTCTCCCTTATGGGGAGAAAATTCTCAAGGAACTGCTACTTTCATTCTAGGTCTGTGACCACTGGTATTGCAGGGGTGTGGTTTACCTATAATCGTGATCGCACTGCTGTATGATGAATTCTAACACACGTGTGTGTGCGCGCGCATTGACTGGGCTGGTTTTTTAAGAGGCATTGTCTTCTGAGCGGTGACTCACCTTGAGAGATCCCTCTGTTTAGTTTCTCAAACCAGCTACTATTGTAAGGAGAGAAATTTTCTCTCTCCATGTAAATCTGTGGTCCTTGGTTTCCGCTATGATCCAATTTTGAAATTATTGTTTTCACTATTATCTTTTTCAGCACTGCATGTTTCAGGCAACTTGATTTCTAGATTATTGAGTGATTGGGTATCATGTTTTTTTGCATTTTTTATAAACTAGAATGTCACAAGAAGGCACTTCTATATTTTAACAAGTCAGTTGTGTGAGGGAACGTGTCTCTGTAAACACGTAGAGAGTTACTTCATGATTCCCTTTCTTTGCAGTGTTTTCCAAGCTGACAGTTTTCCTTAGCGCGACTTAAGCGTCTTGCATGAAAAGAACATATCAGGCTGCAGTTTTCTCGTCTTTGCATATTTGAAAGTAATCTTGTTTGTTTTCTAGATAAGGGCCTTTTTGCGGCGTTCAGGGGATTGGATACTGTTATGGTTGTGAGGTATGCTCTCTAATAAATGAGCAGCTTTGAAAAAAAAAAATTATTGATCTTTATATCTTATGATTTATAGCTGACACCCATCGGGAGCGGAGTGGGGAATAAAGGATGGGTTGGCATTTTAGAGCTGGATTATCATGGACTTATTAGTGGGGACTTGGACCGGACAACCAGCCGTAGAATCAAAGCTGAGGAATCTGGATGTGGATTGTTGTGGTATCATCCAAGAAAAATCTCTGATTGGCCTCTTATAAATTTCAATCTCCAAACCGCTTACCGTTTTTTACCAGCAGTTCTCTGCTGTCATTTTCTTTTCTATTGCAATTCTTTTGCAGATGCTTTCCATGTCACAAAAGATTTTATATAAAATTTTTATCCTCTCGTATATGGTAATATTATGTGGAAGAGGACCTTGAGGTTTTTCAGACAATCTTGAATAAAGCTTATTGAAGCCCATGCTATGATTATTGAATTCGACTTGTGGTAACTTTTTTGCAGGTCCAGGTCGAGATCCCCCTATGATTCTGTAAGTTTTACCTGTACTGTTTGTTCTTGGTTCTTGTTGCTCCTGTATTGGCTTATCTAATCATTTACAATCTGCAGCCTCCACGTAAGAAACGAGTGAGCCAAAACCCGGTTTCAAGGAAACGTAGCCCTTCTCCTTACTATGTAAGACATAACATGTCGTCTGTCTGTTTTAAGCACTTGCACTACATATGAATTCTGATATCTTTTCTTTTATTTGTTGACAGTCTGATCGTAGCATGGACTGAATGCCCTCGAATGGTAGCACTCGTATCTGTTGGAGGTTACTAGTTCTTTTGCACTCGTTATTCATGGATGCTGTAAAACTTGTTAAGAGCTTTTAGACTTTATATGAACGGAGTCTAAAGAACTGATATAAAAATTAAACTGGTGGTGGTGATGATATTCTCATGATGTTCTATGTAGGATACTGGTGGTACCCAACATTGCATGATTAAACCATCTGTGTGCGAGCAGCGTTCTCTTGCTGCTTACTGTGTTTGGTTTTATTTTTGTTGTGAAAGTGGGTTGTGTTTTTCACGGGGTATTTTATTGAGTGCTATAAGTTTTGGGCTATTGCTGTGCTTTTCAACGTTCCTTATTGAAGTGTTGGTGCAGCTGAAGGCTTTGAATCCTCGTTCCCGTTTCTGAGAAAACCTGATTCATGGCTTTTGTGCTGCATGCCGCTAGGATGATGTACTTTGTTGGTGCGGCTTGGATGATGTGGGGCTGGAAATGAACCGAATACCATGATATTCATATTCGTATTTGGCTACTTTTCACGAATTCAAAGTCGAACTTGAATGTGTCTAATAGAGAAAGCGCGTTCAAATTTGGTTTGCTAATTAGATGGATATTTGTAAAAATGTTCATGAATATCAATAGCACACTTGTTAAGTGACGAGATCTTTAACCACGAGTTGTTGACCTCGAACTATATATGTTTGAAGAATTTTCTTATTTAATACTTATACCGTTATTCTTAATTGTTATTATAATATTTCAATATAAGAATTATTATAGTGTACGTTTATAAATTATAAAACATAATACTTATAAATAGTAATATTTATAAAATTATGTATATGTAAAAGATAATACAATATAATAATCTGGAAGTAGCCATTTCGGGGGGAAAAAATTTGGAAGTAGAAAAATATAGATGAATATTTAATGATTAAATAATTTGATTATACCTTCGGTTCACTTCTATTCGTTTATGTATCGAATACTAAAATATATTTATTTGCTATTAAATGAAGAATTGAATTGAATATGATCAAATATCTGGATCAATAATAATTGAATTATTTATTGACAATCTATGTAATATACTAAATCTCTTATACCATTAAAACCACCACTTGGTATTTCCCATTATTTAATTACTTAAAAAAAATGCCACTTTGCATTCTTTTTATAATTTAATCACTTTTCAATAAATCCAACTTAATATTATTTCCGTTATTTATTACACTTTATCATTAACAACTTTTATTATTTAATCACTTTTCAACAAATCCCACTTAATATTATTTCCGTTAATTAATCACATCTTATCATTAACAACTTAATAAGTGTTGTAAATATAAATACAATGAATGTGGATATTATTAGAAGAAGACTCTTCACCTACTTGTGACTTTTAGTATTCTCTTCCACATTTATATAATGTAATCCATGGAAGACAAAATGTATTGAGGAGAAATGAAGATGAATAAAATGAGATGATCACTTTCTCCCTATCTCTTTTCTTGTTTATTTACTTTTACATTTCATGTTCGATTCTTACTTTTGATATGTGATGTATGTAGATATAACAATAAGATTACAATACGTTATCAGCACGATTGTTCTAGCCGGTTTGTGATCGGTTCAGCTTCGAGAGCTTTTTGGAGCATTTGTTTGAGGAAATGAATAGGCTGAAGGGTGTTCACTGTTTCCTTGGGTTAATATCTTGGAGATGCTATCCTCAGGTGAAGTGAAAGGGGCTAGTGAACCAAATTTGTCCGATCCTACTAAAAAGGCTGTACGAGGTGGGGTAAGTCACAAGCCCACATGTTTCTTTTATATGCATGAAGCTTATTCTCATACTGATTTGCTTCTTATTTTTTACTCTGCATGATTCTCTTACGAGTCTCTTTATCATGTTTAACATATTACATGTTGATATCATATCTGTAGGAAAATAATAAATATTACTAGAATTTATTGGAATTATGATATTTGAGCTGTAATATCCATTCTATATGAAGTATGATCTAGTACAGCATGTCCTTAATATGCTAGTTCATCCAGGTGACTCTGTTCTCTTAAAATATTGATTATTCCAGTTAATTTGACAGTGTATTCAACTACTGTCCGCTATTTACTTTTGTCATGCATCTAGTATACAATTTTGTCATTCATATCTGCTGAAAATACTACAGATTAAATATGTCTCTCATATGATTAATAAGCAGAAGCAATTACCTAAAAAATAAAAAAAAAATCAGATATGGTAATTGCAAGTATAAACAGGTCCTGTAGATATTATCATTTGCTATGCCTATGACAACAATGGAGCAAGTGGATATTCACATGTTTAAATGAAATACATTTAAAACAAAATCAGATATGGTCCAAACAAGATAATTTCTTTGAACCTTGAAGCAATTTATTCCATGAACATCATGTCTTGTAATGAAGTTTAGAAATGCAACATTTTAAATGTAGTGTCAAAATCTAGCACAGTTTGAAGCTTTGCCATCAGACTATATTCGCAATTTCCCATCTTAGACCTTAATGTCGCTGTAACTTCAATATCCTAACATTGACAGAACATCAATCATGAAAAATTATCATGATATATCAATTTAATGCTATATTAGTTTCTATCCAAAATTAATATAGCAATATTAGTTTCTATCCAAAATTACCTTGGCAATGTTTTGAATCTGGCAACCTTAAGTTTAGAAGAAATGATAGCACAAACTGGTTATGTCTTTGTTTAATTTCTTCTTGCTTGATTTTGTGATGGTCATTGATCCTTTGAGCATTAAAAATTTTGTGTTAATTTTAATATCAGACTAGTTTGCCAGAAGCAAACATTTCGAAAGATAATCTTTATGAAGATCTTAGAAAAAGGAGCTTAATGATTTTGATGATTATGTGTGATCTTATTAAAATGTGATGTTGAATACTATCAATGCAAGCAACGGTTAAAGGATGTCAAATCTTTAATAAGTTTGAGATAGAGTCTCTCTTCTGGGTATACAAGTGTTATAGAACACGTGAATATTTTTGTACATGTGAATATTTCTAATTTCTCATGCACTAATCTTTCGTCCCCATGATTAGTGCACTGTGATATATGATAGTAATTATTACTTGGCATCGAACGTTCATTTTTTTTACTGGACACACCTTGTGATTTTTGCACGATTATATCTCTTGATTCTTTAAGTATCTTTGTCCAGAAGGCAAACACTTTAAATTTTCTCTCTATCAATTAAGACGTGAAAAATTAAATGCATCAGTGAAAAAGTATTCACTTTTCTGGGCAATCCCTGAAGGATCGCTTTGATCTATGGAAGCCAATAATTTGATCAAAAAAAAAAAATTCTTTTCCCTATTCCACGTAAATAATATTGTACTCCAGCAGCAGTACATGACCAAGAATTGCACTGGGCATTCTGAATTGATTAGTAGTCGTAGATAAGCATAATCAATTGATGATTAGAAATCATAATGTCAGACTAGTTGGCTTACGAGTTGTGTTTGTAGCACATGCTACAATTCAGAAAATTACTTATATGCGTGGACAAGGGGGAGGCTATGAACATAGTAGGAGATCTTATCCTGTAGTCATTTTTGGATTTTAAACCCTCGACTGAATACAATTCAACAAGTAACCTTGTACTCTTACAATAGTACAACTAAAAGCATTATGTACTAATCCTTGCATTAGTAGTTGTTAAAAACACAACCAGCTGTTGTGAGAAACCATAATGCAAATTTAATTGGTTCAGTCATAGTGCCTGAAGCACATATCATAATTCAAACTAATATTCATAAACTTGGACGAGGGAAGGTAGTGGACATTGAAGTGGATCTTATCGAGTAGTAGATCTTATTGAGGTGGTCAAGGTAAACTATTTGGTTTTTCTATATTTGGATTATATGCATTTGTCAGACAATTTTAATTTATCTTGATTTTTGCTTTAAACTCTTATAAACTTATGTGGTTTTTATTCATATGTGTATATTTTAGAATTTGTCTGACCTAAAATACACCATGTTGCGATAAGTTTGAGATTTAGGGACCCAAATTCTTTTAAATTCTGGCACGAGCGATTGGGTCATCTTGGGCAAAATATGATTTGTCGGATTTCCTTAAATTAAATGGGGCATTCAAACCAAATCCGACCAACTGCATATCACAATTTCCCACCTTTATCTAATACGTGGTGAAGAAGCGAAACATTTCCCATCTGCGTGTTCTTTATTTGCAATCCATGTTTCTATATCACCACTATAGCGTACATCTATGGCACCTCGGTGAAGGTACATACATTATTTATGAAACTCCGTCAATAATTTAGTACCTATGGCCCATGTTAGGGGATCAATTTACAATTTGGTACGCTAACTGTATTTTTATTAAAGATCAATTCTCGACATTAGGGGGAGATTAGTGCCCAAAATACAAAACAATGTCAAGAAATTCTATTGGTGAAAAAGATCTTCAATATTTATATCCACGTAATAGTCAAACTGAACCAGAAGTTCACATGATAATCTGCCAAGAAAAGAGTGACTAAGCCCCATATTCATGTTGAATATATCATTGATGATTTGGTATGCCAGAAGCATATTGTGCCAGAAGCATATAAAACATGTTAGTGTAAAAGATAAAAGTCCGCAGCAAACTAAATTATATATAGAAAGACAACCACTCACATAACCTCCGGAAGAGGCTTGTCCTGAAGACGAAATCTCCAGTAAATTACACGTGCACTTGATAATCATAATATTGGAGATGCGGAACGGCCAAATCCAATTGTTAAGGGAAATGACGAGGATTTGGTTAACATAAAATAAGAATTAAAGTGGCCACGAATTTGTGAAAAAGGAGAAATATATAATATAAATATAAAAGTTGTCGACAACATAGTTGCCTCTACATTTGCTCTTACTATCTCCGAAAATAATCTGGATCCAGAACCTAAGTCGGTAGTAGAGTGCTTGAAGCATTCGGACTAGGTGAGATGGAAAGTGGCAATTGAGGCTGAGCTGAACTCGCTAAAGTATTTTGAACCTGTAGTTCATATATCCCTGCAGGATATAATGAGTCTTCGTAAGAAAAATAAATGAGAATTGTAGGGTAGTGAGATATAAAGCGAGATTCATAGCTCCATGGGTTCACGTAGAGACCCGACATCGATTTAGATGTAAAATATTCTCCTATTAGTGATTGTATTACGTTCCGCAAGTTAATACATATGGCAGATATATGCAGTATATGTACGTCATGACCACATTTTTATATGAGTCATTAGACACTAATATTTTTATATGAAAGTCCCTGATGGACTTAAAATTCCTGAATTAAGAGAAAACAAGAATCGCAACATGTATAGCATTAAATTGCAAAGGTCGTTATACGACTTGAAACAGTCGGGTAGAATGTGGTATAACCGACTGAGTGAGTTCCTCCTGAAGAGGAGATATGCAAATAATGATGTATGCCCTTGTGTGTTTATAAAGAAATTCGAAAATGGATTCTTTATTATATCAATCTATATTAATGATATAAATGTTATTGGAACGCACAAGGAGCTTACAGAAGCTAGCTCATGCCTAAAGACGGAGTTTGAAATGAAAGACTTGGGAAAAACCAAGTTTTGTCTCGACCTGCAGATCGAGCATTTTCCCAGAAGGAATTTTTCTACACCAGTCAACCTATGTGAAAAAGGTTTTGGAAAGATTTTATATGGATGAATCTCATCCACTTAGCACACCAATGGTCATTCGATCCCTCGAAGTGGATAAAGACCCATTTAAACCCAAAGAAGATAATGAAGAAATATTAGGGCCAGAAGTTCCCTATCTGAGCACCATTGGAGCACTTCTTTATTTCGCAAATTACACCAGGCCTGATATTGCATTTGCGGTGAACTTGCTAGCAAGGTATAGTGCTTATCATACAAGAAGACAATGGAATGTCGTTAAACATTTCATTCGCTATCTTCAAGGTACAAAAGATCTTGGACTATTCTATAAAAAAAAAACCAAGATATGACATTGGTTGGCTATTAGAACGCTGGCTACATATATGATCCCCATAACGCTAGATCCTAGACTGGTTATGTTTTTTTCTCTGTGGTGGTACTGTCGTTTCTTAGAGGTCTGTTAAGCAGACTATGATGACTACTTCTTATAACCACTCAGAGATTATCGCTTTATATGAGGCCTCACGAGAATGTGTATGATTAAGATCGTTGATACGACATATTTGTGGCTCGTGTGGTCTAGCGAAAGATGATATTCCATCCAATGTCCTTTATGAGGACAATGCAACTTGTGTTGTACAAATGATCAGTGGATATGTAAATGGAACAATGAGAAAACATATTGCATCAAATTTCTTTTATCCACATGAGCTCCAAAAGAATAGCGAAATCACCATCGAAAAAGTTCGCTCAAGTGACAATCTTGCAGATTTGTTCACTAAGTCTCTGCCTACATCAACGTATGAGAAATATGTTCACAATATGCACAGACTTGAAAGACTATCTTCTTCAGGGGGAGCAAATTCTTATAGAACAATCCTGAAGATTGGGCCCTAAATGTCTATTATCATAATTTGCTCCTTTTCACTAAGTTTTGTCCCACTGGGTTTTTCTTAGCATAGACTCAGAAGATTGTCATCATCAGAGGAGCGAATTTTCAACGCAATCCCGAAGATTGTACCTTGAAGGACTATAGTTGTACTCTTTTTTCCTTTTGCCAAGTTTTGTCCCACAGAGTTTTCTTAGCTAAAGGTTTTTAATGAGGCAACTAATGCAACACAAGTTTGGATCCCGAAGATCTATAGTTGTACTCTTTTTCCCTTTACTAAGTTTTGTCCCACAGGGTTTTCTTAGTTAAAGGTTTTTAATGAGACAACTAATGTAACAAGAATCTACTAATGTCGTGTACTCTTTTTCTCGACTAGTTTTTATCCCATTGGGTTTTTCTAGCGAGGTTTTTAACGAGGCATTGACATCAGGTAGTAATGTCCAAGGGGAGTGTTGTAAATATAAATACAATGAATGTGGACATTACTAGAAGAAGACTCTTCACCTACTTGTGACTTTTAGTACTCTCTTCCACATCTATATAATGTAATCCATGGAAGACAAAATGTATTGAGGAGAAATGAAGATGAATAAAATGAGATGATCACTTTCACCCTATCTCTTTTCTTGTTTATTTACTTTTATATTTCATGTTCGATTCTTACTTTTGATATGTGATGTATGTAGATATAACAACAAGATTACAACAATAAGAAATTTAAATTGGCTCCATGTTATCTATCTTTCTCCCAAAGCATAGTTTTTTTCCCCTCTGCCTCTATCTCCGAGTATTGTTTCTCTTATCACCCTCTTGTCTGCCTACTTCTCTCCCTCTCAAAATAATCTACTTTCTAGATCAAAACAACCAATTGGTCCGCCTAGCGTTGCGCCCGCCATCGAGGGGCTCGATGGCATGATCGTCCAATGCTTATTCAAACTCCAACATTTCTTTTATGGGGATTTTTGGTTATTTTTTGATTTTTTTAGGATTTTAAAGCATGTCTTTTTTTTTCCTTTTTCTTTTTCTTTTTTCTGACTAATATTCTTGGGGCGATGATGCATATGAGTAACTTGGACATGTGCAATCTGAGGAAGGTGGATATTGCGCGCGATGAACAGTTGTTCTTATGAAATATTTTTTTTCAGTAAGTTAGCTTTTTTTTCCTACTTATTAATTGAAGAATTTCTAGTGAGGATCTATAATCATGTTCTTCTTTTTTATGTTTTCAGGACAATTAATAATACACATGCTTTTCTAAGGAGCAAATTTTTACTGGTTTTCAATTTATTTCATCACTTAGTAATGTGGAACACAACTTGAGGAGTAAACGATAGACTCAGCCTAATCCTCTTTGCGTCTCTAAACAAGATTCGGAGGATATGATACTATGATGAACCTCCACTGAAGTGTGAATCTAGGACTACAAGTTTGATAAGATCCTAAAAGTATATATTCATTTTCCTTTTCTTTTCTTTTATTCTTTTTCCAATGGAATGTGGTGTTATATGAATTTCTTGCTATTGCCTATTTATTTCCTTTTTATGGAATAAAGTGATTGAATAGTCTCTACCATGAATATGATATATCCTCTGAGAATGTTATCTCTAAAAAAGTGCATGTACTGAAAGAATAAATGCTATTATCCATAAAAAATGAAAGATTTAATGTTAATTGTGTGCGAGTAATTTGATACTAGCTGCAAATATTTTCTATTGCTCGAATCTTTTTAATTTTGTTTGTGGTTTTGAAGACTTGTCCAATTTCCAATAAAAGCATGTTATCCAACAAGAGTAACTAAACAATGCTTAACTATTCACTAATTTACTCTTTACGTGATACATTTCAAATTTGAACTGGAATTTGTTACTTTCATGAATAATTTTTAACAAATTCTGATGTATGTATCGTTTGCTGAAAGCGAGAAACCCTTTGGTTTTCACTGGCTTACTTTTTTTTAAGCTCTAAAAAATACCACTCTATTTTTATAAAAATATGTTGGCTAGGACTTCAGTTGCAGGCCACACATTTTGCTGTTCTTCCCTTCTCTATGTCATCAACATTGTTTCCAAGAAAGTTGTACGGTCGTAACAATTTTTTTTTTTTTAAAATATGTCTCTTATCTGTAGCCTGACTGAAATGCCAAGGTTTAAATATGAAGACGTATACAAGCTGCTCCTACGGTGGACGAACCTCCAACCACATATTAATTGTAGATGCAATTTGTAGGTACTGTTGATCATATTTTAGCTCCTATGGACAACTTCCTGCTCAGTACGTTGCTTCCACTTTTTATCAAAATAGAATTATCGAGAAAATAAAAAGTGCATGCTAATTACTAAAATATATTGTTATTTTCAGAGAATTTTACGTTTGCGGAGGTGAATTTTCATTTCCGCAAGGGATGGGCGATAGAGGGGTGGGAGCAAAAGGAATGGAAACCTTTTTGGGTTGCTTCGTGTTTCCTCTGCTACTCTTTACAAGTTTGCTTCTTTGATTAAATATTTAAGTTGCACAGCTTTTGCTTGTAATGATTTATGGGGTTTTCTTGATGAGACATTTTGATATAGGTTTTTATTGGTATCAAAGTCAGACTAGATAATTGTTGCCTCATCCTGCATATTAAAAAAAACAACTAAGATTAGCCCAAGAACGGGGCATATGTATAGAATAGGTTATCTGCTTTTCAGAAAGACGCCAGTTGACTCCAAATACATTGATTCTCAAGTCCTAATTTTGACCAATCTCATTTCATGTGATCACTATGGCCCCAAAACGTCGTCCCCCTACTATAGTTGGGCCTGAGGGACAACAACTTGATCAGGCTGATCTTGCAGAAGCGATTAGGGAGTTAGTAGCTCATAATCGTCAGAGGATGGGCAACAGCATGTTGCAAGGTCTGGTAATGTGTTCGATTTTTAAAAGTTTAACCTGCAACACTTTGCTGGGACTGAAGGTGGATATGAGGCCGAAACGTGGTTGCAGATGATGAACCGCCTGTTGAGAGCATCAAAAATCTTGGACGAAGATAGAGTCGATATTGTACAGCTGTAGCTCTCAAATGTAGCTAGAACCTGGTGGCATGTAAAAGAGGAGAAGCTTCCTAAGCCGATTTCATGGGAGACGTTCCGGGAGAGCTTCCTAGCGACATTTTCTGTAATGACCGTAAAATTTTGATACTAGTTAAAATAATTTTTTAGTATTTTAAAATATTTAGTTATGATTTTTAAAAGAGTATTTGTATTTTTCTCGATCTTCTAGAAATTTTCTATGATTTTAAAGTCTAAGTTTTATATTTATTTAAATGGTTTTGATATTTATAAATTAATTTAGTGCAATGAAAATTTCTGGGATTTATCCGTTGTGTTACTGATACTATTATGTATTATTTTAAAATAATACGTCGTATTATTATTACTATTACGTATTAATTCTTGTATTATGTTGAATTATTAATTACGTATTATTTGTGTAAATTATTGTATTATTTTAATTATTACGTATCAGCTGTCGTATTAGCATAACTGGTATGTTTTATCGTGTAGATAATTGTCACATAATTATTTGATTTTAAATGTAAGTAAATATATTTTTATTATTATTTATTCTCGTTTAATTATACAATATGTGTATATTTTGACTATTTCGTATCAACGGTTATATTAGCATAACATGTACGTTTTTATTTATAGATAATTATTCTGTAATTAGTTTAATTTTTTTATACTCGTAACTATTTATTTAATTATTTTCGTTTAAATACCTGAAACCATTTGAAAATAATCCAAGCTGTTGCTCCCCGTCAAACCCCCAACAACCATCCCCTCATCACGTTTTCTCTCTCCTTTTTTTTCTAAGAAAACAGCTATCCACGCGCATCCTCCGTCAATATTTTATTTTATTTTAATTTTTTATTCAAAATGTTTTTCTATTTAAACCATGCCCCAACACTCCTCTCGAACACACCTCTCTCTCTCTCCTCCATTTCCCAATCTTAACCCAGTTCCCTGCTCTCTGCTCTCTCTCTCTACTCTCTCTCGTCTCGTTCTCTCTCTCTCTCTCTCCTCGTCTCATCGTCGAGTTCTGCTTGAGCTCTGGATCGTCGCTCTCCATCTGACACGTCAGGCCCTTCGCGTCCAACTTCTCGCGACCAACGCCCAGCGCGCACAGCGCGCTCCCATACTGACCCCTCCTCTCTCGCGATCCTCCGCCACCGGCAAGCCGCAAGTCCACACCGCGCCACAATACCGCTTCCCAGCCACCTGTTGCCTTCCCCCCCTTGCCGGCAGCTTGGAGCCACCCTCCGCCTCCCCTCGGCCGTTAACTTCGCAGCCGCTTCATCTCCGCCCGCAGGAGCCGCCCTTGCCGCCCTGAGCTCCGTCGGCGCTTTCCTCGCTGCCGTTGCTGCGCCTAGGCCGCCGTGAGCAGCCTGACTGCTGCTCCCTCCGACGAAGCCTCAGCAGCGCCCGTCGCTCGCCAACAGCGACCTCCGACCAGGGCTGCTGGCTTCCTGCCGGACTATCGTCCCCGACGTCGTCTATCAACCCTTCCCACGTCGTCGTCCTCACCAACCCCACCGAACCCGAGCTCCTCCCTCGCTACAGTTCTCAGACCCGCCCGAACCCTCGCTCCCGAGCTTGACCAGCGACCCGCAGCCTTGGGCCCGACCGCGCTGTTGACGAGCCACCCCCTTGCACGTCAGCGTCGATCCGTGCGACGAAATACCAAGGCAAGATCCCTATTCTTGCTCAGTACAATTTTAGATTGATCACAAATTAATTACGAATAAGAACTCGTTACCCGAATAATTACTCGTTACAAATATAGAACTGTCGTGAATATATTGAACTGAGAACTATAACGTATAGAACTGTTGTGAACGAAATAGACTATGAACAATAACGTATGACCATTCACATTGTAATACATATACTGTGATGACCTGCATGGATTTATTTGACGAATGATATTAAAAAGTACTAAAAATAATATTTTGATAATAGATACTGTAAAGATAAAATAAAATAAAATTATTTTAGATTAATTTATAATTTTAAAGAATTTATTGACAAAATAATCAATTTAAAATAATTACTATTTTGGTAAAAAATCATTTTTGAGTAATTATAATAAATTAATAGAATTTATTTGACAAAAGAATTATTTTAGAACAATTATAAATAATTTAAAAGAATTTATTTTAGAATAAGTATCAATTTAGAATAATTTCAATAATTTAAGAAAGTTTTATAAAAGAAATTATTTTAGAACAACTATAAATATTTTTAAAAGATTTATTTTAGAAAAAAGGGATTATTATGAATTTTTCATGATTTATGTTTCTTAATTTTAATTATGTGATATGCTATGATCTTGTTGTATATGATTAGTTGCATTTATTACTCTTTTTTATGCTTGAGATCCTTTAGAAATTCATGACTAGTGTGGCCTGATGTGTCCTGTTTAAGACTTAGAAACCTGTGTGTATGAAACTTAGAAAAACAAGAGAGTTGGGATGAGAAAGTCATAGTTCATGTGATCGGATAAGACTGTTGATGTATCTTCCAGGCTCGCGCCAGTGGTTGGTGTCGTCACTGGGGTTGGTTTGTAGGGCTAAAGTGAAGTGTGTACATCACTTTGGTCAGTGGGAATTTATTTCGTCACCCGAGTTCTGTTTGAAGTTCGGACCAGGCAGAAATGGATTACGTGCAGTCCTCTAGGCCGTATGTGTAACGGGATTGGATGCACGTAGAGGATTTGTGAACAGTCAGTTATCCGATGACAGGAGCGTTGACTCTGTGTGAGATGTGACCAGTGACCTGTTATAGAATGGCTAGTTACATGACCTTGTTTCTTGGCTATGTATGAATTCTTGTGAGATACGGACCAGTTATGTTTCTTTTCATACATAGATTAGGATTAATATTTAATTATCTATAATTTAAGACATATGGTATATACATGAGGGTTTCCTTGTTTGGATTATTTCGCTCGACGTACTATGTCTCGAGTTGTAGATTTTAAGTATTAATTCCATCTAGTGTATGACTCTGTACTTGGATGATTATTCTGATTGCTAGCTGCATGATCGACTTGTTACTTGGTTGATTTTCTTAGATTTATTCTGATTATTCTAATTTATAGTAGTAAATCATTTTAGATTATTAGTATTTCAGTTGCATCTTTCCATTGTTATTACCATTATTGCATTGGTCGCACGACCGTTCTATTCTTCCTTTTGTGATCTTGCCGTGTGCCATACACGCTGACGTACACCTGTTTCCTCTGATGTACGTCAGATTTATATGACGATCAGCTTCAGTTCGGAGTCGTACATGAGCCAGAGGATTTCCCGCAGGAGTGCTCTGCAGACCGAGCAAAAGAAGTCGAAGCTTAGTTATTAGTCCTCCATTTACTTTTGTAGCACCTTGCATTCTGTTGATCGATGCATTTTATATTTTCTATCATTTCTTTCAGATAGTCTTGTATAAGGGCATGTTGACCCGAATATTATGCTTGTGATGATATTCAGTTGTGATATGTATATTTTCTGTTCTGAGTTGTTTATTATATTAGCGATACTATGATCGGGAACCTGTGCCTTCGTTTGTATTTCTTGACGCTTAGCGTATTAGATTGAGAAGACGGGGTCTAGCACTTATCTCTCCTCAGTCTAATACGTCGCGGGCTTGCTCGTGTCCCGATTTCCTGGTATTTTGGGAAGCGGGGCGTGACAGGTTTTAGTGGTAGCCCACGCAGGTCACAGTCCCGGTCACGATCCTGATTTCCTACCAGTGAGAATATAATGAATAATTTGGACGCATATCATATTTCATCCGTAAGAGTATACCTTAGCCCTTATCCTAGTATCTTGACCAATCTTGTATTAGTCCCTACCTTATCACTTTTTGACTCCGGAATTTCCCACTGTTTCTTGTCTCGTCACTTCCCGATTACACTCTTTTCGTATAACTTCTCTTTCCTCGTACCAGTCATTATTTTATACACTATGTTTTCTTTGATTTGACTTGTGTATCGTTTGATTGTATTAATTTCTACATTATTTATTACACTATTTTATGTATCACACGCAATTTATATTGCATATTTTTAAATATATATATATATATAGTTGTTAATTATTTATTAATATTATTATTCTGAATATCTTACAAATATATGCCATAATCTTCTCCCTCTTAATTTCCTCTAATTTGAATTCCTTCCAAATTCTTTTTCCCAATCAGCCATAATCACTTCCAATCAATTCCCTAATCACCATTTAACTATTTCCTATTTACTCCCGTAATTCTCTCTCATACTTTCCTTTTTCTCTCTCCCTCTCATAATTCGACAGCTCAACCTCCTCCTGTTCATTTTTAATTCCCTGCTCTCTCTCTCTCCAATTATTCTCTTCATCTCTAAGAACTGTTGGACCCTAGAGGGGGGGTGATTAGGGTCTTATGCTAATCTAATCCGATTTTATGCCAATTAATATATTAACAAGTTATATTCTTGCAAGATAGATATACAAAGAGTTAAGTGCAAGAATATGCAATATACACAAGGTGATATATCCTAGCAAAGAGGTATACTATATGATATATGCAAGGATATATAAACTAACACAAGGGTAAACAATATGAACTAGATAGTGGATCATATAAATAATGAGCTAATGACAATGGCGACAAGAATTATAAACACAAGTATAAATAAACGCCAAAGCACACTCAAACACAAGATATGATCACGGAGTTCGGACCTTCCGTCCTACGTCTCCGCTCCCCACTCCCGGGGAGAAATCCACTATCAACCGGGTTTTCTACGTTCACCCGAATAACGTTTACACCTCACAGTATCGGTTTTCAACGCTCACCGATCAACGTCA